AGGTGACATTTGCTCTTTTACACTTTGATGTTGTTATGTGCCGTGAAGTCGATTCAGACTCACAGTGACCCTATACAGGGTTTCCGAGGCTATAAATCTTTATGGGAGCAGAAAGCCTCATCTTTCTCCTGCAGAACAGCTAGTAGTTTTGAACTGCTGACTATGAGGTTAGCAGCCTGATACGTAACCCCTACGCTACCAGAGCTCCAGCAGAGTTGCCCAATGCATTATGTCCTTTGACTTCTTGACTGCTGCTTCCATAGACATTTAGGTGATGTTGTTAAGTGCTGCTGAGTCAGTTCTGACCCATACAGACCCTGTATAGGGTTTCCAAGGAGCAGCATGTGAGATTGAACTGCCAGCCTTGCAGTTCAAATGACTTTGCAGTCTGAGGCATTAACCCACAGCGCCACACTAGGAGTCCTATCTCCATAAATGCTCAGAGGCACTTCATTGCACCAGGAAGCCTTCTGCCGGAAGGCACTCAGCTCTCTGCCTTGCCCTGTGAAGCTGGAAGTCCACTACGCTATTAAACACCCGCCTCCTGGCTCTGCTGCCACCTTTATTTTCTCACGATCTTGAACCATCCTTGGTGTTAAGTGCTCTCGCCTTCTCTTGGGTCTAGGAGGTTCTTAGCACAGGGACTTTGGGCTCAAAGGATGTGCTCTATTCCCAGCTCTTCTTGGTAATGAAGTCTATCCCTGTCCACCTGTGGGATGGCTCATTTTAAACCTAGTGGGACAGCAAAACTCATCAACCCCCATATTAGGGTTCCATACTTGGCACTGTGGGATAGTGTCCTGGACCGCAAGGTTGGCGGTTCAAAGTCACCAACCACTCCTCGGAAACTGTATACAAAGTTGCTATGAATTGGAAAGGACTTGAAGGTGTTTAACAGTAACAACAAACACAATATTTGCATGGTCCCATCACTACAAGAATGCCATGCACCTTATTTGCATTATTAGCTAGCTATCCAATCCTCTTGGTGGGCCATAAGCACCTCATTTGCATAGTCTCACTCAGTCCTTTGGTGGGAGCTATAAGACCATAGTGAGAAAGGTTATATCAAAGCCATCACACTGCATACTTTCTGTGCTGAGCCACTCAGTACATGCTCAGTGTGACCAGCAGCTCTAGTATCTGGGTCGAGACCAGACATTTCTCTGAGCGACTCAGAGCTTCTTGTAAAGCCTTTTCACTCCATCGCCTCATCTCAGTCCCTCCAGCAAACCTGGAGGCAAACCTAGAGACCAAGGGTTTTTCTAGAGTTCCCCGGATGAATGGAGGTGGAGTCAGCGGCCTCTGGTGCCTGGTCTTCAATGCATCTCCGGATAGACTAACTGCACGTCTGAGGAGTATTGATGTCCCACTGGACTTCAAGCTCCTGGTGGACAGGGCCTGAATCTCTACCATGCCCCAGCCCCAGCCCCAGCCCCAGCCCCAGCCCGTGAGCTCTCCTTTTGGCCACTGGCTTTCTCCCTCTGGAAAGCCTTCTTTCTCTAAGGGCTCCTCCCTTCTCCCTCTGCTCACCTTTCTTCCAGTGCCACAGCCCTCTGGACCCCATCCGAAGCACCCGCTTCACTTCAATACATCAGCACTGAAATCAGTGCAAGCTGCTCTGGTGAGGACCGTGAGATGGCCTAAGAAGATGCCTGGGGGTGAAGAGACGGACAGGTTCTTCAGATGGTGGCAAGCCTGGACAGGGGCTGGCATGCAGGACAGTGGGGACTTTGGGCTCCTTTTCTCCTGCCCTTCCACACCCCAAACTCCAACTGCAACAAGGATGCTGTCTGCGATACAAAAGCAGATCCTCAAGGGTGTTTACTGATTGAGGTTGCTTGTAACACAAGACAACCACGTGCGGTAAGGGTCCTAGATCTGCCTATGCCCTGTGGTGGGGAGTCCTTGTGGGTGACAGACTCCAGAAGGTAGAATGGGAAGGACAGAGAGTTTAGATGTGTAGATAGGGGCCTGGCAGGAGGGGAAGGTGGCATTACAGAGAAAGGGGACCTTAACAAAGGTAGAGGGCAGGTGGCGTTAATAATCAGTCTGATGCAGTGTTTCCAAGAGCCAGGAACTCCGACTGTGTGGACTCGGTCATCTCTCGTGCAAGGAGGGTGCCAGTGTCATCACCTCACTTTCTAGAGAGGGGTTCAGTGAATTACCCAGGACCCCATGGCTAGTGAGTAAGCAGCCAGCAGGCGCTCTCCTAGCCCCAAGCCCTCCACTCTCCCAACAACGCTTCAATGGCAGGCCTGTGTGTTGGAATGGCATCTCGAGGGGCAGCCCAGAGAAGGAGGCATCTGTCCTCTGTTCCCCCTGCCCCCTTGGAGGAGCCCAGACAGTCTGGAGAAGACTGAGGAGCCTGAGGGAGGGAGGCTGGTGGGGAGAGGGCGGGAGGAGCCGGCAGTGACTCAGCAGGGCAGGATAAGTATCTTCCAGTCCAGGGAGAGGTAACCCCACATCTCTGCCAGGGGAGACGGAGTCACGGAGCCTGAGGCATGGGTTGGCCAGGGCAATGGAACATCCCAGAGAATGGCATGGTGGAGCTGAGTACCTGGGGGTATCCCTTCTGCCCTTGCCTTCCCTACATATCCATCACCCAGACATCCATGCAAATGAGAAGACACAGCTGGGTCAAGCAGGAGAGAGGCACAGGAGTCCCTGGCTCCTCTCAACTCTTCTTTCTTCAAAGGGAAGCAGGGGGTGCCCTCTGGGAGGGTCTGAGCGGGTCAGGTGTGGATAAGGGACCCAGGGCAGGGCAGGCTCTCGTGCCCCTGGGGTTTCCGCTGACATCACGGCCAGCTCAGGGTGAGCCAGGGCCCTCTGGGCTCCTGCCCACTGGAAGGAAAGGGAAAGTGCACACCCTCTACCTTCCAGCCCCGCCCGGGCTCCGACTGGCACCGCACCCTGGAGGGCACACACTAGCCAAGGGGAGGCCTCCTCCTGGGGTGGCCTGGGTGGGGCTTCTGAGCCCACCTGGGTCCTCTCTTTACAGGCTCACAGCTGGGGTCCTCAAAAAGCAGAGGGAAACCCTGGGAGGCTGGAGGGGCCTCAAGCTCCGAAACCCGTTGCTCAGTCCTGGGCTCCAAAGGTCCTGTTTGTGAGATTTCCACGTTTAGTTGAGGAAAATCAGTGCTCATGGTTTTGTCCCCACCCAGCTTGGAGTGAGTGATATGGGTACCTGGCCCATATCTGAAAAGGAGCCCAAAGTCCCCACTGTCCTGCATGCCAGCCCCTGTCCATTACTGGGTCCCGTCAATGATGGGTGACAGGAGAGCTCAGGATTCCACTCCAGGCAAACAGGACCCTCAGTGAGTCCTAAGCAAGGCCTGCTGGGGGCAGGCTGTCACTGAAATCTGTGTGCTCTACGCCCTAGCCTCTGCTCTTTCTGGGAGTCCCACCTGTGCCTTCGTCCCCAGCCTGCACCTGAAGGCTAGCCCTAAGACCAAGTCCTACTCACTTGCCTGTGGGGCTTTAGGCCAGTTATGTCATCGTCTCAGACCTCACTTTCCACATGTGTAAAATGGGGAAATAATTGTTTCTGTCTCCAGGCTAATGGAAGGATAAAATGACAGAAAACAGGCACATTCAGCACAAGGCTGGCTGCAGCCAGAGCTCGATACATTTAACTGTCAGTGGTGTTTAATCCTTTCAGGTCCAATGAGAAACTTGGGCACGGAGCAAGCTGGCAGTGTCCACTGAAGCCTCCTGGCTCGCAGCCTGCTTCACTGTGTCCCCAGCCTCTGGAATGGAGTAGGCACTCACAGACTGCTTGGTGAATGAATGAATGAATGAATGAATGAACGTAGCTCCAATACCAGGTCCCTGTAGGAAGCAGACAAGAAGCTCCCCAAATCCAGGCACCTAGGAGCACTGGTGTCTTGGGCACTTGGAAAGCCTGCCCTGGAGATGCCAGTTGAGGGTTGGAGGGAGGGAGTCTGGGTGGCTACCAGCCCCATTTCTTAGGAAGGTAGCCCTGCCCCCACCTGGCCTCCTTTAAGAAAGCTTTGGCTCTTGCAGCTGCTGGCTGCTCAGGTTTAGGACACTCCCACTGTCCGGTCCTGAGGGACAGACAGGTGGTTCACCAAGGGCTCCCTTGACCTCTCCATCCTGTGCAGGGCCTTGGACTCAGTAGGGACTTGGGAAAGGCCTAAAACAATTTCCCATGGGACAGAAGAAATGTTGCCTTCCAGAGGATGCTTTCTGGAGCTAAATGGGGTGGTGTCTCCTTGAATCTCTGCCTGCTCCCTATCAGCGACCCCAGATCATTAGAGCTGGAAATGCCCTTGATCACAATCTATTTCTGAGACCCTAAGGGGATTAGGAACCTTCTCCAAGCCCCCCAGCTGGAAGTCAGCAGACAGGCACCTGTCCCACCTCAGTCTCAGTCGAAACCCTAGAGGTGGGATTCCTGCTGTCTCTCTTTTCTCCCCCAAATCCCAACAGCCCACCCCCACTTGGGGATTTGGCAGAATAAAAGACATCATCTTTATTCCAGCCCCCACCCCAACACAACTGGCAGCTCTGAGCCTGCTGCCTTTGCCCAGACATGGCAGAGGGGCACTGGCAGCTTGGGAATGGAGTTGATTTTCCCCTTGGCAGGGTGGCAGATGGGGGAGGGGAGAGACTGGGCCCCCACTAGGTGAGGGGAGAGGGCAGGGAGGCAAGTCTGGACAAGAGGGCAGAGGGAGAACACGACTTTCCCAGCTCGTGGGGTCACCTAGGATCCAAGACAAGTGGGGGCCCTGTGTATAGCCATGTGACCCCCATACCCACCTGGCCTGGCTTGGCTCCCCCTTCCAGAACTGCAGCCCCCTACATCCTGCAAATCCATGCTTTCTAGACCCCCAAAGTGAATGTTTGCAGGGGTGGGGGCAGCCTTGTCCAATGCCCCCTTCTTCTATTCCAGCACCCCTTCCTCTTCCCCTCCTTCACCCCTGCTTTCCCTTCCTCCCACTCCCACCCTCTAGCCTCTTTGTGTCTCCTCTTCCCAGGCCCCCCACCCTCTTTCTCCAGCTCCCCCTTCTCCTTCTTTCCCCTAGCTCGACCAGGCCTCCTCCTCCTGTGTGGGGGCTGCTTTCTCCTGACTCAGCAAGGTGCTTTATAAGGTGCTGAGGGGCTCCGCCAAATCCAAACCACATTGTCCATGTAGCCGTCTCTGCAAGGAGCGGCGCAGGGCGCAGGCGACTGACTGCGAGCACAGAGAGGGCTGGGGCCGCAGCTCCCTCTCCTCTCCCCAGAGCACTCTCCTAAGGGCTGGCTGCCGGGCCCTCCTGGGTAGTCTCAGTGACACTGAACCACTGGGCATCTGCCTTCTTGACCTTGCCATGGACATCAAGAAATGGTCAGCTTAGTCGCCACGAGTGGCATGGAAACTGCAGTCTGGGCTAATCGGGGGTGGGCAGACCCAGAGCCCTGGTCTGGTTCTCAAGGGCGGTAGAGGTAGGGTTCCAATGACTCCAGAGAGTCCCCTGCCCCCAAGCCCAGGCCAGCTCTGCTTCCCCAGCCCTTTTTCTCCTCGTTTAGGAAAAAAAAAAAAAAGAGAAAAAAAAAAAAAAAACCCAACAACAAAGTCTGTCCCACTCCAGTGAGGTAATTGAAAACAAACTTCTTCCCCCCCCCCCCACCCCCCCACCCCCGTCGTCCTCAGTGTGCAGAAAAGGGAAACGCTGCCCTGGGGCCCAGGCCGCAGCTATGACCCACGGGCTGCCGCCGCGGGGGCAGCCTCTTCCTTGTGGGGGTACTTCCCTCTCCTGGGCAAGAATGGGGGACAGTGAGAGCCTTCACCTTCCAGGTCCAGCCCACCACCTACCTCTCCCTGTCTGGGACAACAAATCAACAACAAATGCAACTTCCTCCGGATGATTTAATTGGTGGCCTGGCTCTAGAACACCCAAGCCTTGGGAGCCCTGGTGACACTCCCCCTCCCCCAAGAAAAATCCTATATGGGGATGTCTGCACCCCAGAGGGACGCTGCTTCCTTGCGTCTTCCCACAGACCTTTGTAGAGGGCGGGCAAGACGAAGGAAGGAGCCCCTCTAGGAAAGGGCAGACCTTTGGGTCCCCTAAGTCTCCAGTGGCCCAGCCCAAGCCAGTAAGGAGGGAGGGGGAAAGGCAGTCAAGGCCAGACCACCCCTACCCCACCACCGAAAAAAGCCACAGCTCCAAACCCCAGAGGAAGGAGGATGCCAAACGGCTTTATAGTGAAACAGTTCAGAAACGGGGGCCTTGGGCCGGCTGGCGCTGAGTCAGGAGAGAACCCTTACGGAGTCACCCTCGAAGCCTCTGGTGTTGAAACTGGTCTGGTGCCTCGTGCTGATTAATGAATTACAAAACCCCCGCCCCGCCTGCATCCCGGCACCCTGGTCATCGAGAAGAATGAAGAATCTTGCGAACTTGAGGGAAAAGCCCGGACAAGTGCCCTCTTCCCCTGAAACTCTGGGCAGTGGGCCTGCGAGGCTCTCAGGCTCCCCCCCAGGGGGCACTGTGAGCTGGTCAGTCACCTGCCCCAACCTCAGCGCCTCACTTAGCCCAGCTTCTGGAAATGGGACAGGCGGCGGGACAATAGGCTAGGGGGGCCGTCGGCCCAGACAAAGGGCAGCAGGAAAAACACCATCACTTGCTGCGAGGCCAGCTCGCTGGCATTTGGGAAAATGTGTCATTGCATTTACTCAGGGGGAGGGGAGGGGAGGAGAGGGAAGGTTAGTGAGGAAGAGGGCAAGGTAGGGTGGGAACCGAGCATGGCACTGGGCCAGGGGTGGGGGGCAGGCGGCCCATGGGGCCGACACTGAGGGAGAAGAAAGGCAGAGGACCGGCGCACCCCCCTGGCTCATCGCCCGAGTTTGCAGACAGACCGATGCCCTCCCCGCCCCCTCCCCTAGGAGGCCCAGGGTGGTACCGCCGCCGCCTCGCCTCACCTCATCCCCCCTCGGTGCTGTGGGAGGGAGAGGAGCCCCAGAAGCCCTCCCTTCCCTCCTCCCCTCCTCCCCCCACCCCGGGGAGGGCCGCTACAATTTGTGGTTACAGCTTTACACGTCAGAAAAAAAAAAAAAAAAAA